TGTAGTTGGAGCAGACTTTAGAAGGTATCCGCTAAGATCTTACTCTGTTACATTCAATGATAGGAGATCATAGAAGGTGACCTGCTGAGAGGCCTAGGGGTAGAGTGGCAGAATGCTTGCTTTGAGCATGTTCAGGGTCTGGGGTTTGATCCCCCAGTACTGGAATGAAAAGAAAAAAGGAAATCTGCTTCCATTAGTATAGCATCATGGGTCTGTTATTTCACATGCACACCTGCCCGGTGTCTCCCTTCCCTGGGGACAGGGTAAAGAGTGCGCTCTTCCATAGCATAGATTTTCATTTTTGGAAGAAAAGGTTTAGGAAGGTAGGTAGGGTTTTACATCTGTCCTTATCCCAACCTATAAGCACTGATTGCCCTTTTTAGCCTTAAGAGCTAGAGAATTTAACCACAGGAACAGGGCTGTGTGTGCTCCTGTTACAGTCACCAGCTCGCTTCCTGCATGTGCACATCACCAACAGGAACTCTCTTCAATCTCATGCCTTGCCCTTAACCTTTACTGTGTGTACCTCTGGAGAACTGGGTTGCCAGTGAGTGCATACCACCTTATTCTCTCATGTGGAGCCTGTAGTTAAAATAATAGCTAATGTTTACTTTTGTCAGCTCTTTAAAAAATTTAGTTCTCTAGTTACCTGCTTATGTAGCAACCAGCTCAATACCTCATCCTCTGTCATCCTCTGCATGTGTCTTATTTTTCCATAGCATGTCTTGTCCCTCTTTTTATTCAGTTCTTGTTGTTACAATCGATGTGCTTTGCAACTTTCTACATTTTAAAAACTGACGCACTGCACTAGTTATTATTCTTTCAAAACAAAACAAAACAAAACAAAACAAAAAAACTGACGCACTACATTTTAAGCAGAAATAGAAATTCCTGTCCACTTATATTTAAATGAAAAACACTAATATAGGATAAGAGCTTCACATGTAGGACAACAGGGTTTATCACATCAAACTGAAAAATGCATCAAAATTATCTGCAGAGCTTGTTAAAGCAGAGCTCAGGGCCTTACTACCAGTCTCTGGTAGTAAGAGACTTTGCAGCTCTGGGATGGAAGTTCCCTAGACCTGGGATAGACCCCCAAGAATTTGCATTTCTAGCGAATTCCCAAGTGATGCTGATGCACCTAGTCTGAGAACTTTGAGTAACATTGACATGGAGATCTTCATTCCACTTTGGGTTAGTGTTCTTAATATCCTGCCAATATCTTACATGTCCTGGGGTGAAGAATTAGCTAGATGAGGGGACAGGTTTCATGCAGGGGACTTTCAAGTGTGGGAGGCGATGGGGTCATGTGGTAAGCTCCATCTCTAGAAAATGGACATAAGGGAGAGAAGTCAGCTGGGTGTAGTGGCACATACCTGTAGTCCCAACAGTCAGGAGGCAGAGGCAGGAGGATGGTGAATCTGAGGTCAACCAAGGCTACATAGTAAATCCCAAGCCAGCTTTAAATACAGAGTGAGACACTGCTTTGGTTTTGGGGAGCAGGGGTGGAGGCAGGGAAGGAGGAGAGAGAGAGAGAGGTATATTTGAAATGAAAGTAGAGAGGAGACGGGGAGTCTTTATAATCACATTAAGGAGTCTGGAATTTAATCTGAAGGTAGTAGCAAGCCATTTAAAGGGTGAACTGGACTTGTATTTTAAAATAGCATGGCTCTGACTCCAGCCATTGTACTGGATTTGTCTTTTTCAATTCTAATACTTTTTGTTTAGTGCATACACATTTAGAATTACTATCTGTATTTTGCCACTGTTGGATGGCTTATTCTATGACTGTCTAGCTCTTTGCAGCTGTTGGTAGTATTGAGTTTTCTATATTCTTAATGATTTTCTGTTTAGTTGTAAGGATTGTTGAAAGAGGAGTGTTATAATCCCAACTGTAATTGTGGATTTATTTCTCCATTCAGCTGTTGTTGATTGTGTATGCATTTAGGGTTGCTATGTGTTTTTTGCTGTTTTCATTTGTGTATGTTGCTTAGAATTGAACCTAGGGTCTCATATATACTAATGCTGTATCACTAAGCTACATCCTCAATCCCACTATAGAATTACTTACCTCTCCATATAGCTTTTTAGTGGTTACAATAGACAGATAGACAGACAGACAGACAGACAGACAGACAGGTAGGTAGATTTTATTGTCATTTGGGGGATATTGAGATAGGATCTTGCTATGTAGTTCAGGCTGGCCTCAAACTCATGGCTGTCCTCCTGCCGCAGCCTCCTGAGTGCTGGGATTACAGGCGTGCACCACCATGTCCAGCTTATATTATTGTCATTTTACCAGACTGAGTTTAACCATTGTGTTTAATCATATTTTTGTTCACTGTGCTCTTCTTTCCCTTCTGATGTTTTAAGGTGTTCCTTTTCTTATCATACCCTCTGTGGTTAAAGAAATTCTTGTCGATTTGTTGTTGATGTCGTACTGAGAATGTCTTGATTTCCCCTGTCATTCCGGAAGGATGTTTTTGCTGAGTGTAGAATTCTGGATTGATTGCTCCTCTCAGTATTTGAACATTGTTGCACCATTTTCTTCTGCCCTCATGGTTTCTGTTGAGAAACCCACTCTTTATTTTTCCCTCTAGGTAAGGCAGGAACTCCCATTGCTTTCAACAACTTTTGTCTTCATTTTACAGAATTTTAATTATGAGTCACAATGTAAATTACTTTGGTATATCCTGTGTAGAGGAGTTCAGCCATTATTTGAGTATTTATCACCAATGCCTCTTTCCTGTCCTTCCAGGACTTTGATGGTATGAATGTTAAGTATTTTGTCAAAGTCCCTCAGGGCCCTAGTGCAATTTATTTTTTTCCCCAAAAAATGTTTTTTCTGTTTTCAGGATGGGTAATTTCTATTTTTCTGCCTTCTACTTTACTCATTCTTTCCTCTATTCCTCCACTAGGCTGCTGATCTAACCCATTAGATTTTCTGTTTCATTTATTTGCCTTTTCAGAGCTGAAATTTCCATATGGTTCTGTGTATCTTCTATTTCTTTACTGATGATAGTTTCTGTTTCCTTGCAGAGACTTTCTAACTTTCATTTGTATTAAGCATGTTCATAATTGCTTTCCCAGGTATTGTTATCATGGTTGCTTTAAAACCTTTGTCAGATAATATTAACATCTCTACCACCTTTATTTTTAAATTTGTTGGTGGTTTTTGCTATAATCTGATATCTTTGATTCTTGTTATAATGCATGGTTTTTGTTTTTTGTGTTTTTTAAAGACCTGAATGTTGTAAAGATTCTAAATCTTGTTTCAGTGACCTTCTGTGACACTGCTGTGGCAAGGGAAAGCACATGATGCCTTGTCACTGCAGATGAAACAGAAGTACACTCAGCCTCCACTGACCTGGGAGGGCGCTCCCTGTCTCTGCTAACACTGCAGTTGGGTGACCTTGTTACCAGAGGACCTCATTACCAAATTCTGCCTGTCCCATACTTTTGGCATTGGAGGAGTGACTTGTTACTCCCTTGTTAGGGCTAGAAATCCATGCTGCCCACATGGTCTCTGCTGCCTTTGAGCAGGGGAGGTGAGACCTGTGTTGCTAGCTGGGTACAGTGGTATGTGTTCTCCAGCTGCTGGGGAGGCCAAGGTGGGAGGATCACTTGAGCCCACAAGTTGAGATGGCGGCCTGGGCAACACAGAAAAAACAAAAAACCTTGGTTGCTAACAGTGGGGATGAACGCCCTGGCTTGCTCCATGGCCTTGGTTACCCACCTGGTGGGGTGGCTGGGTTGCCTCATTGCAGCCTTGGTAGAAGTCTAAGCTCCTCACTTAGCTTTCTGTTAACACAGGTAGAAGAGAGCACAGTATTACATTATGGCGTGTTTGGCTGGAGTAGAATGGTTATTGTCTAAAGGTTTTTTTTGCTTTGTCAGTCTGCTCTTCTGTGCACTTGGCTGGAGAGAGTAGCCATATTTGAGGCTTCTTTTATCTGTGGCTGTTGGTTTTTGGAGGCTGCTGGGTTCTTCAGCTTGTGCTGGGATTAAGGATTATTTTTTAACCACCACTTTACTAATTTTTTCTTTAGGAAAACTGCAAGAAGAAACTTTAGTAGTGGTCACAATTTGGAATGGGAATTAGAGGAGGATTTTGTTTTGTAACCATCTCTCACGACGCTTTTTCCCTCTGTACTGGGGATTTAACCCAGGGCCTTTGCACTGAGCTACATCCCCAGACATTTTGAAAAATTTTGTGACAAGGTCTTGCTGAGTCACTAAGTTGTTCAGGCTGAGCTCAAACCTGTGATCCTCCTACCTTAGCCTCCCAGCGTGGTGGGGTTACATGCCTGTCTTACTCTTTTTTTTTTTTTTCCAAGTTGAAATAAAACTATAACTTGCAAATGTTACTGTGTGGCAGGCACAGTGCTACCCTATGAGGAAGCTTTCTGTACTCCTCATTTTATGTCACACTAAGCCTCAGATTTATTCTCATCATCCATTATGGTGTGTGGCTTGGTTGCAAAGATCAGAAATGCACGCAAGCCACTTATTTCCACTGTCCAACACCTGACTTATAATAATCTCCATGATTCTCAATCAAAATTCTAAAGCAGAAATATCTGGCTTACTTTAGGTTATGTTTTCACCCAGTTAAGTCAGTCATGACTGGAAATAGGCTCATACACTTTGTGGCCCTCTCAGCCCACCTTTCAGCAGGGCTGTGAAGAATGGCAGGGTGGACAAATCACCCAGGTGTGTCTGTTGGATGGCCACATAGTAAAACTTAAATTCATTTATTGGGTTGAAATATTGGGAAATGTGATTAGTTATTGGGATCAGGGGAGGTGACTAAAGTACATCAAATTTATTATGACCTGATAGGCGAGTTATTGTTTACATTGTTTTGAAATGAGTTAAAGTATTTTTACTTATTTTGAAAAAAAATACTACTAAATTCATTTATGTATGAAATAATAGTACTTTCTTCTTATAGGCTAATATTCGGATCCTAGACAATAATTTTATGTATTTTTCAGGTTACAGAATACTTATATGCTAACAAAATGGCTTTTCGATACCCAGAACCTGAAGACAAGGCCAAGTATGTTAAAGAAAGAATCTGGCGAAGTGAATATGATTCCCTGCTGCCAGATATGTATGAATGGCCAGAATCTGCATCAAGACCTCCTCCAATAATAGAATAGAGGCATCCCACTGATAAACACTTTCCATACATCAGGGAACCCATATGTTTTTTTTAAAACATAAGAGAATATCTGTGTTTTATTCTTCCCCACTGCTTTCGTTGACTTACTTTTTTCCATGAATCTACATGTCTGTTGGGGTAGATGTGTTGATTCTCTTGAGGGGAACCAGAACCCTATCATCAAGTAAGCATAATGCTTCAGTCCTAGTTTGTAGCCCATTACTGCATGCTAGGGATGTGAAAAATACTTTTGCAGACGCCTTCACTTCCACTGTTGTTCATACTTGCCAGGTATTTGTTATTTACTGTTACAGATGCTAATCTTCCCTCACTGAAATTTACTTCTGTGAATTTTCATTAGAACCAAATTTTAACCAAACTCCAAAGAAAAATTATCAGTATTTAAAACTTTTTAAAAAATATCTGCTTCATTTTATCTTAATGCTTTGAAATTCCTTTATAGTAGACAGGAAAATTTTCCCTATTAATTTTTTGGAACTAAATCAAGGTTTAACTATAACATTATGAGAGAATAACGAGCATTATACTACTGCTGCCTTTAGACAAGGAAAACAGTCATTTGCAACAGTATAAAATCAAATGTTATGTTTCACATCAGAACACATTCTATTTAATTATTGAGAGTATACCACTATCCCAACAGTGATGCTATTATTACTTGATATAATTTTGGAATTCCCCTATGATATATTCCTTTGAATGTTGTTAGTAGTGACAACTCTCTGTATTGAAGATGGATTTCATACTTTTCATAGTGGAGTGGGAAGGAATAAATGTTCTGACCAGGAAATGCCATTTTTAATCCTATAAAATGGGTAATAACTGGCTAAAGAGACCAGTTTTGTTGTGTGGTATATACTGGAGATTTTAGGGGAAAATTCAAAAACATCTTAAGAAATAGTATGACTATAGTGTCTACCCATCATAGATGCTTTGAGAGGACAGAACTTGTTTTTTTCCTTTCAGACTCTGGGTTTATAGATTAAACCCAGAGGTACACTACCCTGAGCTACATCCTTAGCCCTTTATTTTTTATTTTGAGACAGGCTCTTGCTGAATTATGATCCTTCTGAGTAGCTGGGATTCCATATGTACTACCACGCACTGCAAGAGGATGAAACTTCTCAATGCTCCTTCTAGAATAGTAACAATAGAAAAAATTACTGATAGGTATATATCAGTGTGCACATTATTTAATATTTCTCTTTAGGTAAAAAGGGGCCTTGTGTTTTCTTCTTCTCTTCTACCTACTGTGATTGATTCATAATAAATTTTGAACATAATTTATTATTTTAAGAATGCTTAGTGTGTACAAGGCCCTGGGTTTGATCCACAGGACCGCTAAGGAGAAAAAAAGTTTGAAATGGGATTGCCATTTGGAATATTGAAAGACATAGTTGGTTAATCTATTTTAAAAGATAAGTAAAAGTCTGTCTCAAAAAACAAGGAATTAGGTCACAATTTGATTCTTTTAATTAAAGGTGAAAAGTTTGTGTTTTTCATGTTGTTTTGTGAAAATAAAATCCCCCCCAACAATATCCTGTGTGAAATATGTACTTTATTTTAATACTGTATCCATAATTAGGAGCTTCGTTTTTACTTAGTGTTTATTAAAGGCAGAGACATATGCTGAATTAGTCTTTTTTTTTTTTTCCCCCCGGTACCAGGTATTGAACTCAAGACCTTGCGCTTGCCAGGCAGGCGCTGTGCTGCTGAGCTAAATCCCCAGCCCCTGAACTAGTCTTTTAAAAAGCTATTTTTATTATTTACAAACTACTATTTGAGGAAGTATCAATTATTGGCTGTAAATTAAATTTACAAATTTTAATATTTAAGAATACAGGAAGCCATAGTATCAAGTTGGAAGAGTAAACATGTGGTTTTCCATAGGAATTTTTACCTAGGAAAAAGAAAATGATCTTGAAAAACAGTAATGGTTTCTCATTCTTTTGAATAAAGAAGAAATTTTGTAAATTAATTTTCAGTAAGTAGTAGGGAAAAGTAAAGTAAGATACATTTTCCTCATCTGTCATACTACCTGTGTTGTGAAAGAAACCAAATAACTAATGAGGAAAGGTTTACTAACAATAAAAGGGGAAGTTTCTGATTTTGGTTAAAATATTTTCAAAGATTTTTTTTTTTTTTTGATCGTTTTTTGGTCCAGTATTATGGATTGAATCCAGGCCCTTTGCACTGAGGTATAACCTGAGCCCTTTTTAATTTTTTATTTTGAGACAAAAATCTCACTGAGTAGTTTAGGCTGGACTTGAACTTGGGATCCCCTTGCCTCAGCCTCTCAATGCACTGAGATTACTGGCATGCACCATCAAATTCAGCTAAGGATGGGTTCTCAACCAGGAGGCTGCCTCAGAATCACTATGAACTGTATTTAAAATGGAGATGCCTCTGTTCCATCTCCCTCTAGACCACCATGGCCAGACCCCTGTCAGGTGTATTTTCAGCAGGCTCCCAGGTGATTCTGACACACGTGGCCCTTTCTCTCACAATCACTGCCTTAGAGTGGACAGCAAAATCATTGGGAGAACTAACCCATGCTGGTGCTGGTGCTAGTGCTAGTGCTGATGTTGATGCTGATGAGGGGTGAGGGTGGGGCCTGATGATGCATTTCTGACAGTCTTCCTGGCAGTACCTATGTTTTACAGAGAACATGCTGAGAGGTGTGCAGTTTTAGTGCTTCTGTAACTATACGTTTCAATCTACATGAGAATGATCAACTGAGATAATGTTTTACTTAGAACAGCTTTCATCTGGTTCTATTAGGTTTTTACAAGATGTTAAAAGTTAATATAGAACTTTTAAACAATTTTTTCTTAAAATACATAAAAGTTAGAATACTATTTGACTATAGATTTGTAGCAAAAGTGAAATCTAGTACCAATATCCATTTGTAAGATATCCATATCCATTTAAAAGATTATCAAATGGACATTTGTATGGAGGTTTTCTATTTTATTATTCTCTAATGGCAGTATTGCCTTATCTTTTGGTCTCTCTCAGTTACCAGCCTCTGGAGAAATAGGGCTTTACATTTTTGCAAAAGGTTTGCTAATGAGTTAAGACTGACTGTAGAGATTGTTAAGGAATGTGGAGCATTAGTTGTGCCAGATAACAAAGCCCAAAGGGGACAGGGAGCGAGTAAGGAAAACCTTCCTTGGAAAAAAGACCTCATCCAAAGGCCCCTAGAGCTTTTTCCTCAAGCCCATTTAGAATCCTCTAGGACAAATATTAGTTTTTTTGAGACAAAAAAAAAATGTAATTTAGGCTGCCCTTGAACTCACTATGTATCCCAGGCTGATGCTGAACTTTCGGCAATCCTGACTCAACCTCCCTGCGCACTAGGATTACAGGCATGCACCACCCGTGGCTCTAGGATAAATTTTTCACATTCACATAGCTTCAGTATTCTGTTGAATTCACCAAAACGGAATCAGCTCTGTTGAGTGGGCAATAGCTGACAAGATTAATATACCCCTCAAAGCTCTATTTGAGATTCTATCTAAAGCAAAGTCCGGGAGAATGGACTAGCACTGTATTGCCATCTAAAATAAGACCAGCTGTGATCAGGTGTAGGCACACTGCTGACTGTAGGATGTGGCACAGTTCACTACCTACTTTGACCCTCAACTTGCAACTTACACTTTTTACATATAAATGGTAAACTCTTCTACAGATGAGCTATATATGTCATATTTTAAATATTCAAGATAATTCAGCTATAGAAAACTTCCCCATCTGAAGTCAGGGTGAGATTTTTTTTTGTTGTTGTTGAGATAGGGTCTCACTAAGTACTTCAAGTTATTCTTGAACTCATTGTGTAGTCCAGGATGGCCTCAAACTTGAGGTGATCCTTCTGCCTCAGCCTCCTGAGTGCTAGGATTACAGGCATGTGCCACCACACCTAGCTTCTGGTAACGTAAGCAGCAAAAAATGTTTTCCAAATTTCAATACAATTAGGCAGGCCTGCATAGGACGTGAGTCTTTTGTTGAGAGCTACTTAGATAAACTAGTGCTTATATTTTAAAATATTATTCCCTTTTCTTAGGTAAGGGTTTATAAACTTACTCAGTTTTCAACATTTTAAGTATTGGATGTATCCATGTAGAATTTGGTTTTGAATTTGGTAAGTTACACCAAAGATTCTCAGTAGCTACTTCACTAAAACCTTTTGATTTAGTAGTTTTTGTAGACCTACCAGCTGCTATCACTTTTGTGTAAACAAGTTTAAGTAGTACTTATACTTGTGAATCCACATGTGTCAATGTGCATTTGTATTATATATTCTAGAGGATATTTATTGTATTATATGCAGAGACATCTTCCATTAAAAGGTGAGAACAATTAGAATGTACTAATATAAATCTTATGTGTTGAATAAGAAATTTCTAGAGGCCTATTTTAGCTATTTGACAAAACTTCCACCGTTTAATTATACTTTGTCTAAAGACCTATAGAATTAAATTGAGACTGTATTTTTGCAATTGATATTTTTTGTGTTCCTTTGGGTAACACTTCAAGAATTGTTGACTTTAAAAAAAAATTAAAATAAAGCCTTTCTGACCTTTGCATTTAAGATAAAATGATGGGTTGCCTAGTCTTGTAATTGCTTGTGGGAATACTAGTTTAAGTGGAGTGCCTTGGGTAGAGCACATTCTAGATTGACTTCTTAAATGTGGTCTAAGGAACAATCTGAAAAACATCATAATTATGTGAATTACTTTTCCTTTTTGTGATACATTGTAATGAAATGTGTGTTCTTGTATTTTCTTAGTAAAATTTCCTGTGCATAAAAAATACTTGGTGATTGTGGTTTTGTTTTGTTTCTTGTTTGCTTTGCTTTTTTGAGACAGGCTCTCACTTTGTAGTCCAGACTGGCCTCAAATTTAGGATGCTCCTGCCTCAGCCTCCAGAATTCTGAGATTACACCTTATGTCACCGTGCTCAGAATTAATGACCTTGGTTTTTTTTTTTTTTTTTTTCTGACCTTGTT